GAGATGATAATATGCAAGTAAAGCATAATGATTGGCATATTAAATGCAAGATCTTTGTCACCATCTGCTTCCCGATTGTGTCAGCAAGTTGGGATTTTTTTCATGGAAGTGTGAGAATACACCATGGCCTCGAAGTATCAAAATGTCAATTATACATCACATTTTAAAGTTGGAAGCCTAAATCACAATTGTCCCTGAATTCTGCTTGAAACACTGACAAATTATTACCTATCCGTCACATTTAGCCTTACTGTACAGTAGCACAGTTATTGTGCTGGAAAATAAAACAGAGCAGGAACACTATCAAGGCCAGGTTTACAATTTTGTGATGAATACTTAAAAAAAAATTATTCAGAAGGAGACAGGGAGAGAAATAAGAATTCAAAACAAATTGAATAGTTGTGGAACAGCCCTATCAAATACTTGTTATTTCAAGCTCAAGTACTTAGAAAACAGTTCTGTATTTCTGGTATTTTTCATTGCAAATAATCCTCATTCACAAGGAAGACAGTATTCCTTTTTCTGTATTTTCACTTGCACTGACAGAAGAAAATTGTATCCTGGTTAGTGCAATGAATCAGCATGAAGTTCAGAAGGAGAAAACCAATGTGAAACCTGACCAAAATGAAGGAACTCTTCCACTAATACCACAGGTCCTGCTTTACACCCTCAGTGGCCTTATATCAAAGTTGGTGGGAGATGTTTTAATGTCCCACGTAGGATGACATACAAACACCATTAGCTGCCAGAACAAGCAACCAAGAGGTGAAAGCACACAAAAAGGCTGCTAATTGTGATTCTGAAATATAAATACAAGACTCTTCCAAAACTGAAAAGTCCACTAATATCTCAAGGCATTATTTCTGCTAGGGGGAGGAAACAGAAGTAGGTATTGTGTAAAGTGATTCTTCATTTACTGAGGACAATGGTAACATCACCAAAAAATGCAATAGCCTTTTGATTTGCTTCTAGACCAATTACTATAACTGTGGAAAGGAGATTTCTAGATTTTAAAAAAGTGGGATAAAGAACATAATCATGTTCAGAAACCTAACATGAACTAATTTGGAAGAAGACTGTAAAGAGGTTAAATGAAAAAAGTGACCTTCCAAACTTGTACTTTAATGGACTTTTCATAAAGCATTTCTTCTATCTAATAATTTCTGATTATAGTAGTATTTATACATTATAAGATACACAATCCACTATTTAAACAGACTGCTTATACAATATTTGCCAATGAATAATAAATTTTTGCTGTAATAAGATAGCAAATTTAAAGATGCAAAATTTATTGCAAATGGGACTGATTCCAAAATTAGGAGATTGTAAGTAGCATGATTTATATTACATGTTTGGGGTCAATCTCTGTGCCTGTGAAACAGGGTTTTTAATACTTAATAAATATAAAATACATTGATTCTAATTAAGAATTAATTTTTAGTACGGCTTTGTATTTTAAGCATGTGTGTACATACATGTTAAATCAAAGTGTTTGGGAAATTTCAGTCTGGGGCTTCTGATTTAAGCAGTTGTCCATGAGCAGTTGTGTATAGGCATGTCTTCACTACTAAAAAAAATTCTTTTTCCTTCTTCAAAAGATCATGTAAATGATCTGTGAAGCAGAGGTTTATATATTTCTGGTGGAGCAGCATGTTCTGCCAGGTAGTTAGCAGTCTCTCCATTCATCAGCAAATGGTGAATCATAAGCTGTTGGAAAGCAGAAAAGAATAAAAAAAGTCACAGTTTAAACTTTGCAGTTGTAGTTTGATAGATAAAGTTTGTAGCCTGAACATATATATAACAAAGAACCAACACTGAGAAAAAAAAATGGTATGTAAGAAAAAATCTCTTCTAAGAACTTTCATGTGCATCTGTTGCCAAGGTAACACTGTATGTATATATACGGTTTGAAGATATACACTGTAGGTATATCTTCAAACAGGTACCTTTTGGGGGTCTGACTCCCAGCTTGTGCACCTCCACCAAGATATCAACTGAATGCAGGCAGTAGGAACACACTGTGTAAAATATTAGTGTATTACAAACAGATATGGTTTTCTATGTGTGCATACTACTGGTATCACTGTCTTCTCTGAAAGTGAGGTCTGGATATGTATGTGGTAAATAAATATCTTTGAACTTTGTGAACTGTGGACATCAGTCCATCTCTCAGATTCTTATAGCAGGGATTGAAGGAAAATGTCCTTAATGTCTCTTTAACCTTTTCTTTTTCCTTTCTGTAAGTCCATCAAACAATTTCTTACTTCACCCTCTGTTAGGTCCATTGTGAAATCACTCCTGTTTACTAACAGAGAAATATCTCTCTTTTTTTTTCCTTGCTGACATTTTTTTTCCTTCTTGACTGCTCTGTCAGGCATCCAAATGAAACAAAGAATTCATTTTAAGTCTTTTTAATTAAAGAATTAGATTATTTTTAATTAAATTATTTTTAATAAAAGAATTATTTTTAATTGAAATTTTGCTGTTTAGGACATGATAATGAAACAAGTGAGTTTAAGGGAAGTTTTGCTGCCAATATCCATGTGTTTTTGTTCTCCCTCACATCAGGAATATGTCATACAAAATAATATGGTTTCTTTCATGTATTCACCTGGACTTTCAAATGAATGCTTCGAGGCTTTCTTTCATACTCTGCTTAATAATCTTAGCAATTACAGAATTTTTATAGTCTGTATATTATATATTTTCCTGTATTTCGTTTTTAATTCTGTATAAAAAATAAATTTTAGAGTTAATTATATGTATGTTATAGAAGCATAGAATGGCTTGGGTTTAAAGGGAACACCAACTCTCCTGCTGTGGACAGGGATACCTTTCATGAAACGCAGAACTCCTTCCAGCCTTGCCAGGAGCACTTCCAGGGATGGGGCGTCCACAACTTCTCTGGGCAACCTGTTCTAGTGACTCACCACACTTACAGTAAAGAACTTTTTCCTAATATCGGATCTGAACCTACTGTCTTTCAATTTGAAGCCATTCCTTGTCTTATCACTACACACCCTTATAAAAAGTCCCTCTCCATCTTTTTTGTAGGGCGCCTTCAGATACTGGAAGGCTACAGTTAGGTCACCCCAAAGCCTTCTCTTCTGCAGGCTGAACACACCTGATCATCTAGCCTTTCCTTGGAGAAGAGTTTCTCCATCCCTTTGATCATCTCCAAAGCCCTCCTCTGGACTCACTCCAGCAGTTCCATGTCCTTCGTGTCCAGTGGGTCCCCCAGAGCTGATGCAGCCCTGCAGGTGGCTCTCAGCAGAGCAGAGCAGAGCAGAGGGGCAGAATCCCCTCCCTGGCCCTGCTGCCCACGCTGCTTTGGATGCAGCCCAGGACATGTTTGGCTTTCTGGGCTCGGAGTGCCCATGGCTGGGTCATGTCCAGCCTCTACCCACAGCACCCCCAAGTCCTTCTGGGCAGGGCTGCTCTGGGTCTGTTGATCCCCAGCCTGTGTTGTTCAGCCCCAGGTTCACCACCAGCACTTGTGTTACATCGTGCTCATGGGCACTCTGTTGCCCCTTCCCCGGGACCCTGTGACTCTGATCAAGATAACCCTGGACCCTCCTTCCTGCTCCAACGGGGTTGGCGGAGAGCCAGAGAAGCCCACCCTGTCCAAAGTCTATATAGACCCCTGACATTTCCTGTTCGTCCTCTTTTGACCCGCTCTCCTCTTGGACGTCACAGAATAAAGAGAGCTGCACCAACATACATCGGGGTAAGAGCCTCTTTTGGAAATCTTTACCTTGTCCTGATATTCCTCCCCTCAAAGCCTCGGATCTCTGGGCTAGCCTGATAATTCAGGGGGCTGTGAGCAGGGGGAACGTCACACTTGGTCTTGTTAAACCTCATGAGATTCCAATGGACCCACTCCAGGTCCCTCTGGATGGATCTCATCTTTCAGGTGTGTCAACCACACTACTCAGCTTGATTTCATCTGCAAACATGCTGAGATTGCCCTTGATTGCTTTGTCTGTGCCATTAATGAAGAAATGAAATAACAGTGGTCCATAACAGACTCCCGAGGGACACCACTTGTCACTGATGGACATTGATACACTGAGCCATTGACCACTACCCTCTGGATGTGACCACCCTTATCCATCTAATAGTCCACCCAATGAAACCGTGTCTCTTCAGTTTAGTGAGAAGGATGCTGTGAGGGACTGTGTCAAAGGCTTTACTGAAGTCCAGAATAGATGTATGATAAAATATATCATTTTGTTCAAACAGAAACAAAGCAATCTTCTTAATCTTATGATTGAAAATGAATAATCTTCACTAAGTTTTCCTTTAGGAAAAGCTAAACCTAGATATTGAACTGTTCCAGAACCCCAAATGCAAGGTTCAGTCTTGCAAGTGCTTGTATGTGCTCAGCATTATTTGGAAGAGTAGTCCTGAGTTCAAAGTGAAGTCTGTTCAGTTATCAGTCTGAGTGAGCACTCAGGTGTTTAAAGTGTCTAACCAGGTTTTCAAAATAGAAGCTATGTTTCTTGAGGCTGTAAATCTGTAACCATGTGACAGTTCTTATTGAGAAAAAAAAATCATAATATTTAGAGTTGATCAGTAGTACAAAAAGCTGTCTCTACTTTCATCATGCTAGATTTAAAATGAGCTGGATTCAGAAAAGCTTAACAGTTCTTTTGTTTTCATTTCTGCAGATACTGAGGCAATCTAGCTTCACTGGCATTAATGTTTGCTGAAACAAAAAATACAATTCAGAGAAGTATTTGTATAATGTGTTAACAGTTTTAATCTATCAGAATATTTGTCACTGAAACAATGCCTTGTCACTTAGTAAAACAACAGCAATTAGACATCACAATTCAATTCATTCACATGGAGTAAGGAAATGTCCAAGAGAATGATTTTGCAACATTGCAAAAATGTGGCAAAGTAAAATCAGAATTTCTAATTGGTCCTAATGCTGTATTTTTGGTTTAACTTCCTTTGCTTTCAATTAGATTTAATATGGTCTCTCTTCCTAGAGTAATGTCAGGATAACTCACTGGTTGGAAATTATTTACAATGGTAAGTAAAATAATTGGAATAACTTATTAAAGAAGCATCGTGATAAAAAAAAAGCATGTGAACATAAAATAAATTTGATCAGAGGTTTCAAAATCCAAATTAGAAATAAATTTTACAATGTTTTTTATCCTAAATACCTCATAATTGTGCAGAAGCAGTTAAAATATTCAGATCAATATTGTGGTCTTTACAAGAAACTGCTGAATCACAGCAGGAAATTTGTGTTATTCTGAAAATTGAGATCTCATAAAAAGCACTCTAGAGATCACTCTGAGGGAAGAACAATGCTGGAAGTACACCATAACCTACCAGGAAATACCATGCATGACCCACAGAAACCATACACATAGATTATGTTTCATTTAAAAAAATAATTACAGTTAAAGTAAGTAAGGAAGCTTTAGTCTTTTATTTAGTTGTTTTTTTTTTTTTTTTTTTGTAAAGTATTATTACTTTTCAAGGACTAGCAAGAATTTTAAATGAAAATTTTACTAAAACTTCTGAGACCAGGTTAGGGTTAGGACTAGGTTTACGTCAGGGAGAGGGAGAAAGTTGATGACCTCAGAAAAGGCTGCTACAAGATGCCTTTCCAACAGAATTTCCCCTGAGGCTTCATATATCCTGTGGCAGAATTTTTCTTCAAGGCTTAGGATCAGTTAGGAGAACTATCCTTTTACCTCTTGGGAGAATATCTCTGACAGGTGAGATCTGTTAAAGAAGCCTCCGCTGACCTTGCAGCTCTTTGAGGAAGAGCTGGAGGAAGCTGCAGGAGGGGTTTCCACCTCCCAGGCTGGCAGCTGCGTTAAGTAGAGTCTCTCACACTTGTCCCAGTCACATTTGGTTGAATCCAGGACTGCACTGAGCTACTCTGCAGCAATGCCAGTGCCTGTGATTGTGCCTTGTTGATCTGGACTGTGACCCTGACTCATGGGATGACTTCATGACTTCCTGACAGGACTAAGCCCTGTTGTTGGTGGGGCCACAGCTTCCTTGGCCTGGCATGTTGTCATAATTTGCTTCCAAATTTTCTTTTCCCTAACTGCCTCTATTGCTCCCTGAGAGACATGTGAGACCCATAGGAAGGGTGAAAAGATTGAGGAAGTAAAGTGTGGGCTTCTGTGAGAATTCTCCCAATTGCATCTTTTTCACAAGGAGTTTCTGCATGTCCCACTACAGAAGTGTCCACCCACACTTAGCCTATAGGAAGAGTAAAAGATATCAGAGCCATGAAAATGGTGGGGTTGCAAAGAACTGGACAAGCCATAGTAGCACTGTGGCTTATCTGGGAGCTCTCTCCCACCTTCTATTTCCAACGATGGCTTCAGCATGTCTATTGGCATAAATCTCTGTCCAGATTTAACACAAGGGCTAGATTTATGGGCAAAGAGTCAGTTATATTTCTTTAGACAAGTGTTTTAAGGCTTAGCTGCACAGTGAGTGGCTGCTTCCAACACTTCTTAAAATTGTCAGAATACATCCAGAGGAGGTTTTCAGTTTAAACTAATAGAAATTGTTCATTGAAAGGCTTAAGTGATGTGAGAGTTTCCACTTTGAATTAAATATTGATTTACTATATGAGTTAGAAAAATGCTCTTGAGGACTATTTTTATGATAATTACAATACTTCTGTAATATTCTAGTATTTTTATAGTATTTATGACATTTATATATTGATAGATTTTATGAAGAATTGAAGATTGCCCTTTTAGCTTGGAAAAATGTTGTCATAGCAGTCATATGCTACTGTTCAGAATGCCTTTCATTTACCCCTAAATATAGTTATGGGATTAAATCAACAGAATTGATTGATAATCACATTAATATACTGTAAGTAAGGTACTAATTTGTCTTCTCAGAGGGGAAAAAAAGAGAACAACTTACTGTGCATTGACAAACATACAAACATGGAGTTCTTGGAGATGGGAAAATAAAATATAATGTTCTCCAATCATTCAAATATTTTCATAAGAAAGATACCACTGAGATATATAGGGTTACATATAGTACTACTGCACAAATAGATTTATATCTGATACAGTATTGACACTATAATTTGATAAACCCGATCAATAGTAATTTCAAGATTGAGTACATGCATTCTCTGCTCTTCTTTTTTTGCTGTGTTTATTTATTCGGTTTAATTTGGTTTGTCTAGTTAACATTTCTAGAATGACAGTGATATGAGGTCTAAACTGAATGTAGGCATTAGGCAAAATATTTCAGCATTTCATTGTTTATTTTAATTTGAAATTAATTAATGTGAGATATCAGGCCCTATAAAGACAATGAGTGCCATCTATAAATGATAATATAAATCAATAAAGAGGAGGAGGTTACATGATTTATGTTGGAACTGAGCCACCATGTAATAACTGATGCTCGTTACAGCCTCAACAATGAATGGGAAATCAAAACATTAAATACTGCAAGCAAGAAGACCATCCTATTTTGCAGTGAGTTTAAGATACTCTATTTGTAATTCATTTTTATCCTTTTAAAAGGCAGGTTAAATCTTTCATTTAAATAGACATCTTGCCTAAGAAAGGGGCTGCTGGAGTTTGCCCAATGTTTCCATGCCTTTGAGTTGTTGCCAGCTTTGCTTGAAAAATAACAAATGCAGTTGCCAAAAGCTACATGCAATAATATTGCTGTTAAGAGTACTATAGTTACAAGTTTTAGGCATGTGCTGATTTTCATATCTCTATAGTAGAGTTTACTACGTTATCAATATTGTATTTTCATTGTCTTATATTAGTAAAATAGGACTTCAGAATTGTTTTGCATATCTCTCTTGAAGAATAAAAACAAATAGTTCTACTTTTGAGCTGATTGGCACACTATGAAAATACCGAAAGTCTCTATGAGTAGGGCTGCATTGACACACTGAAAGCAGGTGTAACATTTCTCCAGAGATTTTACTTATTCTCCTAATTTCTTCTAATTTTATTTATTCTCCTAATTTCAGCACATATTTTCAGATGAGGATTTCACTCTTCTTATCATTTTCTTAATAACAGTATTTTAATTAATTTTGAAGAGAAAAGATTTTAAGTCTTCTTTCTCCATACACGTTTTAGCTGAAAAAGAAGAAAAACAAACAACGGGTGGAACTTCACTGCAAATGTTGTCTTACGAAGTGTCCCTGTATCAGGAAGCTGTCAGGTGAACCATTTCTCTTTTCTATTATTTGAGTGCATTAAAATGAGATGCCCAAGTCCTCTGCAGATTCTGCAGTTACTGCAAATTAAGCTGTTTTGCATTCCAGAAGTCATTGTCATGGAGATTTATGAGTATGGGGTCGAAGAGGATATGAATGACACCTGTGGTAGATAAGTTTGTAGATGGGGTACTTTACATCAGTGCCCAGTCTTCTTACCAAATTTGATCCTTTTGAGTAAGAAAACAATAATCATATCCTGTTTCATAATAAAGGTAAGAGAGCTACAGATTCCTAGAAGAGAAGATATGTGGGTCTGTATTTGTGTTCTTTTTACCTACCAGTAAAAAGAACACTTCTTCACTTCCTGAGGAAGCTCCCGGGGAGTCAGGTAACTGCCATTTTAATAGTCTGAACTGAGGTTATAAGATAGTGCAAGCCACCAGAATGATAAACAGTGTGTACCATTAAACTGGGACAGAGGTCATAGAAATTTATCTAGATCAATACCCAATTCTTAACAAGGGTCAAAGATATTAAGAGGCTCCCCAGGGAAGTGATCACAGCACCAACCTGATAGAGTTTAATAAGCACTTGTACAATGCTCTCAGGTACATGGTGTGATTCTTGTGACTGTCCTGTTCAGGCTGGGAGTTGGACTTTGATGACCCTTATGGGTGCCTTGCAACTCAGAATATTCTGTGATTCTATAGTCTTGCAATTTATGAAAGTTGCATGAATAACTTTTCGATAAAAGGATCTAATAATGGAAATTTGTCAACAGGTTGCTTGCAGAGTAAGCTCCTTGTCCCAGGAGTAAGCTTACATGATCGTTAACATGTTTTTGTTTTCTTTATAATATTTCATTTTTTTTGTTGCAGTGTACAAGAGGTTGTAATATCATTCTAGATATAGCAACTTTTTGGTTTCAATCTATACTGTAGATGAAACAAATACACTTTTTAATCTTTTCATTGGGTCAAATTTTCAAAGTTTTGTGTTCTTATAACAATTTATTTTTGCTTAACACAGTTTGGAGTTCTTTACTTTCCTCTTGAGAGAATTTCCTCCCTGACTGGACTTTTTTTATATCCTTTTGGGAAAAGGATTCTCTTTATTTAGATGTGAGTGGAACTAACTCATGACTCAGCTGAAAGAAACTTTCCAAACACGATAACCTCAATACCACAAATTCAGTCCTACTTGCCTTTAGGTGGACATAGAAGCTGCTTGTCAGCTTTGTGGCATTTGTTCAGTAATGTCAAGTGAGAGTTTCAAAAAGTTATCATCATGTCTATGGAACTTCATTTCTTTACCAATTTCTGTGATTCTTCTGCTAATGTTGACTGCTTTCATCAAGGGTGGGAGATTTTCAATTATGTTGATAGGTTTCAATACTGCATTTTGAGCTGTAGTGGAGTCAGCCCTTAAAACAATAATGTTGAAGATATACAAAGGGCAGACAATTATTTTCATTAGCCTAAGACTAATAGCTCAAGTCTGAAGTAGGATTTGAAGCTACAAGGTATGTCCAAACACTCCCACTCTCCCACCTATCACTCTCCAAATTGTCTGCATGATCCTGAGCTTTGAGGGGTGTGTTGACTGATAGTGCTCTACACAAATGACCTTTCATATGAAGGAGTTTAAATAACAGGCTGCTGCCCTTCTAGAAACGCTTTTCTGCCTCTTTTAGCTTTAATTTTCCAGCATTCTTTCCTTTGCGTGAATGAAAGGATAACTGTTTGGATATGTGAAATGATGATTTATTGTCAGAATCATTACAGTAGTGTTAAAAACAAATAGCTCACCAACTGTCTGTTCTCTTAAACATGTGGTGTATGAGTGCTTCAGTGTTCTGTTCAAAGCAGAGACTTTATCTTTGTTCATACAATAAAAAGATCCCCTTTACATTATTTACTTTAGTTTAGATTACTGTGTTTCCAACTGTCATAAGTATGTCAGAAACACAAGTTTAAAACATTATATTTTACTTGCCAAAACAAGAAATAAAAGAACGAATGGGAAATAGTCTAGCAATTTAAAATATTGCAGCTTTTTTTTAAAGCAACAAAAAGACAAAAAAAAAAAAAAAAAAAAAAAGTGGAAGAATGAAGGGCAGCCTGTTCTCCCTTAGCAGAAAATTAAATAGTATTTGTATTTCTGGAAAGCTAACTGTAGTTTGCTCAGGCTATCTAACCATTTTTTCTCTTGATCTGTGTGGGATGTTTTTTGTAGAATGTCCTGAATTGGAAGGATGTGGGAAAGGATCACTGAACCCTGTTCCTGGTCCTGCACAGAAAAACCCCAAGAATCACACCATGTGCTATGTTCCAGGTCTTAGCTGATTGTATTCAAAGAGTCTTATTTTCCTGCAATATATTATGAATGGCTTTGGAAGAAACACCTGGAAATGCTAATATTGTGTGGTGACAGCAAAATGCTGGAATAAAAGAGGGAAGAAGCTGGATATCCTGGCAGTTCTGCAGTACACCAAGTCTGTTATTTCTGTTCTGTCTTTATAATGGCCATAAAATATGAGCTGGGAGTATGATGTCAATGCATCCACTTTCAATAATTGATATGATGAATAATCTCAACCTTCTGACACTTTCTGTATCTTCTCACATCTCAGGAAACTTCATTCATCAACCACATTTGAAATGTTTAAGTAATCTCAGTGATGTATGGAGCACTGAAACTCCCTTGTTAGAAATCTATGCTACTAACATTCTATCAAATTAAAAAGCCACTGAGCTCTTGTGCATAAAATTATCATAAATTATCTCTGAAGGTTCATTGCTGTTTGGAATGTTTAATTGCTCACTCAGCTGAACTTCAGCAGCTCAAGATTATTAATCAATTTGTCAGAAGGTTTCTCATAATGTCATATTTTACACTGTGGTTATATGCAAGGAAAACCCATGTGCAAGACAGTTTTATGCAGCAAGTCAAAAGTATCCATGCATACCTTTCACAATATTCATTTCATATATTTATGAGGGTATTTTTCAGTTGTTGATTTCTCACAAAACATAAGAAAATTGTAATTACCTCAGTCTAATTTATCTGGGTGGAAAACTAGATTCTCAAAAATATATTTAAAAGTAAAATGGAGACAGATAATAAAATGTAACTATTGAATCATTCAATCCTGGCCTACTGTTGATTGTCTTCACTACAATAAATATTCTTCTAAATGCAGTAAAGATGTTTTGAAAATGCCATACCTTAAATGTACATGAACAGCATCTTCAGCCATTTTTCTTGCACAAATGCACAGAATGCATTTTTGTTTTAAAGTAATTTTTCAGGAGAGAATTTAACTTTGATGTACTAAACCATGTATTTCATCTTAATTGAAACACATGTTCCATTATTTGCATTGAATATTTTTTATTATTTTAATGGTTATCAATTCATCCTTTTTATACAGTTTTCTTTCTTTTGTTTTACAAATGCATAAGACTTATTTTTCAAGTGTATAAGACTTTATTAATGGGCTGATGGTAATATTTTTATTTGCAAATTTTTTTATCCGTCATTTCTTTTAGGAGAAACATAGAAGTAGAGGATTCTGCATTTCCTGTTCTGGAGAATTCAAAAGTGTTTTAGAGAAACATATTTAATTCTCCTGAAGCCATTTTATTTTCTTAAACCAGAAAAGTTTCAAAATATAAAGACTGGAAAAACCATGGACATTATCCACTTTTTCTACTCCATGAATGATCATCATATTATTCCCACGCATGTGGAAAGATAGAGGATGAAAGCCAACATGTAGTTAATAAATGTCAAGTATCTATTTGATCTTAAGTATTTATGTATAAATAAAGTATATCATACATGGTATTTCTACCAAAAACTGAAAATGAAAGAAAATATCAGGTTGGGTGTTTGTTTTGTCAAGCTTCTTGCATGAAATTAAAATATTGGAATGATAAATATTCTTGTGTGTCAAAAACAAATGGTCCAGTTATCAGAAATTTGCTGTGAACTGGCATTAGTATTTTTTTATTCATGTTTTTCTACTGTATTTCTTCAAAGCCTTTCTTAAAATCTATTATGTCCTTTAGCTGATGATAAAATGGAAACAAAACAAAAGTAATAAATAAATCACCTACATTTTCTGACATCTGGGGTTATAAAAGCACATCACAACAAATGCAAAGCAGATCCTTGGTACAATTTCATCACCATTACCCAGCTCCATTACAACAAAACTTCTAACACCAAAAAATAAAGATTGTCATTATGTTTGGCTTTGATTCAACTCCAAAATGATATGCTGAAGATTGAGTATAATATCGTCTGAAGAAATAGGAAGAGAAGCCAGATCTTCAGATTCCCAATAATATGTCTTAACACATGAATCCTTCCTTCATCACCCTGCTCAACAGTGATGCCTTACAGATGAACAACTGAGCTGTGATTAAACAGCTTATAGACTTTTCAGCATTTGTTTCTTTCTTTTAATCTTTTCATTATACAAGTCTGCCATAGCATATATTAGCACTAGGAAAATATAGGAATTAGAAATGCAGAGACGAACATGTTTAAAATGCACTATGTATGTGGCAGATCACAATTTCTAGAAACATTCATTTCTGTAAGGTCTTTGTAGTTCTTCCTTTATCCAACATCAATTTATTTTGCCATTGATTACTTCAAATCAACTTGGATTGAACATACTATTTTAACATATTATGCACTTTCCCAAACCTGCACATACTTGGCTCAAATTACCTCAGAACCATGCTGAAAACAAACTCATCACTAAGAATTGAGACTGTTACTGTTTCAATGAAAAGAAATTGAGGACCAGACAGGAGTTTTGTATATTAAAAAGGTTAGGCATTTCTGACCATGTACAGAGAAAATTAAAGTGGTGCTGTAATTAGCTCATCGATAAATCAATAGGTCTGAATGATAACTGGAATGGTTTGGATGTCAAGAATCCAGAAGCTTATTATGTGTGTAATAAAGATCAAGGCACATAAGTTAGCATTCACAGCTTTACTTATGTCTGCTAGTTTCTTCTCCTCTCACAACACCATCCCTCTTCTCATTTAATCATGAAAGCTAGATTAACTTCTTTTGTCATTCAACCATTTAGAAAACCTCCCTGGTGATTGAATTTCTTTATAATTTATATCAACTTTGAGCCTGAACCAGAAATTCTAGTGATGTAGTTAGTTACCCCTTGCCCAGAAACAGGTATGCTACAAGTAAAGATTGTAAGTGCAGATATTGTCCTTCCATATGCCAGAACTTCTAAAGTAACACAGTAATGCATGCTTGCATATCAGAAAGTGTGTTATCCTTTGATGTACTTCTTCCTCAATATGATTCATTAATTTAATAGCTCGTAACACTCCATTATGTTAGTCTAGCTATGACATGTTCTGTAATGTATGTACAAAAGGTTATTATGTAATGTTTACTTGAAAAAGAAATGCTATATTTGAACATAAGAAGAATTAGAAATAGCATTCTGCTATATTTTAACACATAAAAATTTTTTGGCCATGGATTTGTATACAGTTTTTGACATAAAAGAGATTATTTATTCTTGAAACAGAAATGCTGATTATCAAATTTTTACTTAGTCATTTATTTCACTGTCCATTGGAGTCAGTTATTATTGATTTCTCCCCATATATGTCAAGAAGTAATGACTTTAATTGAGAAAGGAAAAACAGTGATCACACAAAAATCAGTTTCGAATAACTCAGTTCTCAGTGTCTTTTGGAAAACTATACATCAATGCATTCTCAGAAGACTCCAAAGAAATTTTCTGTGCACTTGATTTCTAAAGCTTGAACTTCTATGGTCCCAGTGATCATTCCAAGCCCTCTTGGAAACTCAGTTTCCAACAGTAGGTATTTTAGATGCCTAAGTTTAACGGAGTTAGCAAATGATGTCTCCTATCATGCTCAAAATGACTTGATGTAACAGTGAGTAGGCCTCTCAGTGAAAGTGTTTATTGTCTCATACTCTCTGTCATTAATATTGCTGCTGGGTTTTTTATTATCTTATCACTATTTCCAATCAATTGTTCTTATCTCCACCCATGACCTTTCTTTTCATCCTTTCAATTCTTGAGGAGAATGGTAAAGGGAAGAGAGAGGGGGAGAGAGAGGTGGGTAGTGAGTGAGCTTCTGTGTGGTTTGAAATTTCATTTTAAACACTGAACTGAGGAGTACCATTCTTAAACCATGACTGGCACTAGAGAAGTAGTACACCTTTTAAATCAAATTCTTAGTGCTTTTACACTATTGATTTTTCAAGCTTTTCCTGGAAACCTCGGACATACTAAGCCAAAATTATTTTTTTACTTTATAATGCATTAAAGCTATTCACAAAGCAACAAACTGCAGGAGTAAGTTGCTTAAACACACTGCATAGTAAGGATGAATTAACATGTTTTGAATACAAGAGACCAGACGCATTCAAGTCTCCCTGGATGACACAGGTTATCCAGAAAATGACACAAACATTGCTTCTTTTTTTGGGACAGGCATCTGTCAAACATTACCCTTCTAAAATCTACAGGGACATTACTTCAGCCATTTCCCATTGACACATCTTTTCTCTGTCATTTCTTCAAAATTCTTTCAGCAGGTTAAAATGGTTATTACTTCATCAGATGTCCTTGGGAGGGAGGGTAGTTGAAAGAATTCTTTGCATATAGACGGCTCCTACTGGGTAATGAATCTCATGCCTGAAAGCATGGTTCTTCTAAAGAATCCCCCTAATGATTCACAAACCTCCTTCAGCAAGATGGTGATGCGAAGGGCAAGCAGACATAGGGAATTTTATTGCCAACTGCACTCTACCCTGTCTAAAAACATTACAAACTGCAATATTCATTTACATTATTAAAAACACAGGATTTATCTTTGTGTTCTTCTATAATGGCTATGCAGGCTACCCATACTTGTCTTGATAGCAGGTAAAACAGTAGTCAGCCATTAATTGTTAGCATCAGGCTTCTTAGGCAGTTGGAGACATTTTCATTTTAAAAGATAAATATATTTAGTGGGCAAGGTTCCTTCCAGAGTCTATGTTTCTTTTGAATAAGATAACCCAACAGCCAGGAATGAAGTGACAGATGGAAGTGCAGAGTTTCTCTACACTGATCAGGTTCCATTTTGTTTGTACCATCTGATTAGCAGGAACAGCATAGATGAATGATTGATTATGTCACCTTCATGGCTTCTGAAATTTCTCTCCTATGTATCTGATAATAGTTCATACAAAGGTGGTCCATACCACCAGTAGTGGCAGTAATTATATCCTTTGAGATCCCAAACCATCTTCTCAGTACCAGAAAGTATAAGTAAACAACAACAGTGAACTTTGTGCAAAACTAATTCTGATAAGAGACCAACCAGTTGGAATTCATACCATAAAGCTGACGATAGCTGTCGAAATTGAATTAACATGATGGTTAAACAAAAAGACAGAGAGTCTGTGCATATTTGAATTCCAGCTTCTGCAGCTAGAAAGAAAGTGTATGGTGCCAGTACCATTTTCTGCATGGCTACCAGTGGCAGGCCTTCACCCTTGAACCATTTCTGATATATCCTACAGGTCTGCTGTTCTTTTCTTGCTGTTCAATGTGTTGCACCACCACATAACACTCTATTAGTAATGACCATATGGAATTTCTTGTCATCTCTGATATTCTCTACAAGCTCTTTAAACTCTACAGTGAATAAGAGATTAATTCCTATAAAGTGCAGAATTTCCTTAAATATTTTTTTTTCAGTTACATTTCAATATTTTTGAGAGAAGAAAATTGGCCAGAAGTACTAGTTGGGCAAGTGCTCTGTTGAGTTGTTGACATTGTTCCACATAATCAGAAATTGGTATGGAAAGACTCCAAGCTTTCTTCTGCTACTATGTCATTTCAGTGCTACTTCCTTTGATTTTCCCAAGAAATGTTTTCTTTCAGTTAATGTTTATGATTGACTTCACGACCTAAGCAGTACAGCTAATGTATTGAAATGTATTCTCCTTGCTTTTGGGTGTTGAGTCTAATTATGTCACCCATGAAAAGAAACAATTTTGCTCATGTGGCAGAAATCAATTTTTTACCACTGCAATTCAAAACTCAATTTCTTTCAGTTCAAGTTCATTAGGAACCAAATCTGTCGGAATCTGTGGGTATTGGTGATTCCGAGATTGTAGAAAATCTCTGTCTTTCTGCCCCGTTGCCAAAGAAGAAGCCATAGTTCGTCTGTGCTGGTTTCAAGGTTGTTTATTTTTGCTTATCTATAACAAGTTCTGCTGCCCTGCCGCAGGTCTGTCCTGCAGGGCAGCGTGCGGGGCTCTGCCCCTCAGTGGGATGGTACAAACATTATATACAAAAAATTACGTGTACTATATTTACAATAATGTGCCAATATCTATCATCTACGTTGAATAGTGTGTCCCTAGCCTAAACCAATAGAAAAATGCCAACATCACCAAGAACATGGAGGTAAGGAAGAAGAAGGAGGAAGAACAGGTTCAGGCCCACTTTCCTCCATCTTAGAACTCCTGACCCCCCTGTACAAAGTAGAACCCCCCTGTACAGGTGTTAAAACCCCCCTGTACAATACTAAAAATTTTACCCTCTAATTTGTGACTACTTTTACTATATCATCTAACCCTCTGTGACTGCTTGTTCCACCTTTAAAGTTGGTAATTCATTCCATGGTTCAAACTCAAGATCACAGCTGTTTTCAGCTGCTTGCCAGGGTCTAAAATGCTTCTGACCAAGGCCTGGAACCTCTAAAAATGTCTGAGGGACATTTTGAGTTCCGACATCTCCCCTCTCTGTTTGAACCAGAAACATCCGCTTTATCATGCTGTTCAAGGTCCTTCAAATACACACGAAAATGCATGGTAGAACAAGCAGAAGAACTACAAGTCCTATAAGAATATAAAATACTATTTTCAAAAGTTCTTTTCACAATGGTGAGATATCAAAAAAGCCAAACAAATCATCCCATCAGGACCCTGTAACTTTGTTCAATTTGCTAATATTACTTTGTATTTGTTTTATATTTTTATGAATAGATTTTGAATGATCGGACAAGTTCATGCAGCACATCCCCTCAAATTCCTCACATCCGTGCCCATGTGTCAGCAGCAAATGATCAATTGCCGCCCTGTTTTGAAGCACTGCTTGCCTTGCACTGTTGATGTCTGTTAACATGTCACTCAGTGCAAACGAAATGGCACGACTGTGTTTCCTCAACCAATATGCTATACAATCCAATTGTGTCAAGGCCGCCCCTGATGCTGCTTGGGGTGAGAAAATTGCTATTGCAATTCTCCGAGACTTGTCCCAGGTAGAAACATCATCATCATCATTTGAACTATATTTTTCAAGGGATCCTTTCCTTTTTGAACCAAGAACACCTCTTTGACAACTTTGTCCATGGTCTGCCTCATGCACTGAGGCAAGGACAGCACAAACATTAGAAGAATTACAATACCTTATAATTACATACAACTATTTTCAAAATCTCTTTTCTACAACTGTGAAAAGTGAAACAAATTGAACACACCATCTACTTATGATTTAATTTTTCTCCAGGTGTGTTTGGTCCTCTGATCTCTCTTTAAATTTATCACTCTTGTGTCCATGTGTTTACAATAGATGTTCAATTACTGTTTTGTTCTCATTTTTCACTGCTAGTTAACAAATCATTCGATGCAAAAGAAATGACATGAGCATCTTTACTCTGTCCACAACCTCTTTTGATTCAACTGCACCAAGGCTCTTTTTGATGCCACCTGCTGTGAAAGCAGAACCACTCAGTTTTTCCGAGCCTTTTTTCTTGGTATTAACATTATCATTGTCACAATTTGGATCACTTCATTCATCAGATTTTTTTCTCCTTGCTCTCTTATCAAGGTCATGCTGTGTGTTAACAAAAGATCTTTCAATGTTGCATGGACCACCCTTGATTTTTGCAGGGATAGCAGGCCAAATCCTGTCCCC